ATTTGCTTTATTTCTGAAAGAAGGCTTCTCACCTGTACCTGGTTCTACCTGACTCAGCTAGGTTGGATGACTAGAAAGTCAGAGGGATCCTCCTGCATCCATCTCCCTGCCGCTAGGGTTATAAGGACATGCTACCATGCCTAGTTCCTGTTTTCTTTTAATTTTTTAATTTTTTATTTTTTATCATATGTTGTTGACAGAAACATAGTAATATGAATTTTTACATATATTATCCATAAGATCTAAAATAGTTAAAAGTAAAATTTATGTACAATAACATCTTTTTCTAGAAAGATGTAGTTATCATGAAATTAATGCTAATGACCTAATGTTAGGATAAAATCCTTACCCTGAAGGGAAAGCAAATCATTTTGTTCAATATGTCTACCCCACAGATGAACCACCAACCACAAGCACCAGAAGGAAACACAACCGGGTTGAAGGAATTTGTCCTCCTGGGATTTTCTGATGTTCCCCATCTCCAGTGGTTTCTATTTGGATTGTTGATTATCGTCTATGTCATCATCCTAGTGGGCAATGGCACCATCGTACTAATAACAAGGGTGGACTCTACTCTCCAGACCCCCATGTATTTTTTCCTTGGATATTTTTCCTTTTCAGAAATGTGTTATGTATCGGTTACTCTTCCCAGAATGCTCTTCAACCTTGCCACCCAGAGAAGAACCATTTCCTTCACTGCCTGTGCTACACAGATGTGCTTCACTCTCATACTGGGGGCTACAGAGTGCTTCCTCCTGGCTGTGATGGCCTATGACCGTTATGTGGCCATCTGTAACCCACTGCGCTACCCTCTACTCATGAACCCCAGGGTTTGCACTCAGCTGGTGGTTGGCTCCTGGGTCTGTGGAATTCCGGGGCAGGTAGGTCAGACTTCACAGATTTTCTCTGTGCCGTTTTGTGGTTGCAAACAAATCAACCACTTCTTCTGTGACATACCCCCAGTACTTTACTTGGCCTGTGGGAACATCTTTGTGAATGAGATGATGGTTTTCTTAGGTGCTCTGGTGTTTGTTTTGGTTCCCTTTCTGTTAATAATTTTCTCCTATAGTAAAATCATCTCTACAGTCCGGAAATTACCATCAGCCACAAGTAGGACCAAAGCCTTCTCCACCTGTTCATCTCATCTTGCAGTTGTGGTGCTATTTTTTGGATCAGCTATCATTACCTACTTTAGACCCAGTGCTAGTCATTCGGGTGGAACCGACAAAGTGCTTTCCCTTTTCTACACTGTTGTGACTCCCATGTTTAACCCAATGGTATATAGTCTAAGGAACAAAGATGTTCTAATGGCACTGGAAAAATTGTTTTGTAAATGATTTATTGAATATTTATGGGCTGTAACTCTTGAATATTCTTTTATATGTGTCTGCAATTAAATTTCAAGAAGTATCTATTTCTAATTATGTCCCTTTTTAAACAATAATAATTATTCTAAATCAAACATTTTTAACATTAATGAACTGTTCTTTCTGCAAGGATATGTATGTGTATGTCTGTCTGTGTGTCTCTGTGTGTGTGTCTGTATGTGTGTGTCTCTCTCTCTGTGTTACATGTGGATCACATACAAGTGAGTACAGTGACCATACAAATGTCAAAAAGGACATCATATTCCCTGAAGCTGGAGTGACAGTCTGTTGTGAGCTGGTAACATAGGTTCTAGAAACAACTCAGATCCGCTGAAGGAGGAGCACTAACTCTAAGTTGCTGAGCTACATCTCCAGTCCAAGTCTTTCTATTTTAAAATCTATTCTTTTCTGTGCAATATTAATTCCCAAAAAATCTTTCATAAAGCCCTTATATTTGGCACAATTATGATGCTATGCTGTGTTATATCATTTACTAGGAATAATGTAGTACATTTTCACAAATTAGTGACAACATCTAAAAGTATATTACATTGGCAATGAATAATAACTGGAATACACACACATCTATTTTGCACACAAAGATTTTGGTGTAAAAATCACTATCTAATTAATTCTTTTCTTAAAAGAACACTTAGTGCTTGCCTTTTTTTCTGGTACTGATGATCTTACCATTTGCTTTGAACATACTAGGTCACTGCCCATCACAGAGCTCCGTGCCAAGCCCTACAGGTCCTCCTTTTGGTATATGGGCTTTTACAAATGTTTTTATATTAATGGCTGTGAATGCCAGTCATATTTTGTGTATGTAAAGAATAAGTATTAACATTTGAAAAACATGATTTGATAAAATAAATATTACTTAAAGGTAACATATTAAGAAGAATTCATCCAAATATTTCTGGGCATATTGACAAGTCTTTCTCACTGAACATTATCAAGATATTGTTCACTTAAAATATATCCTCTTAAGGATGCTTAGAATGCATTAAAGTTAATGAAGAGGACATAAGTTACTATGTTTTTGAGTATGTCGTGCATGGGTGTTCTACTTGATTATTTCCATTCTTCCCAACTCCCTCCATCTCTTCCCTTGCCCTCCCCCCACCATCTCTTGTAGTTCCCTTTCCACCTCTTTGATCATTATTGTTGCATGTACACACATACTTTTACAAATGGACGTATACATGTGGTGAAACCTGCTGAGCCCAGTGAAGTTTTCCCCTTCCACCTTGCCATATGAACAGATTTTGTCATTACACAGACACTGGTAGACTGTAGATATTTCATTGATATGACTCCCCTGTCATCCCTTGAATGTATTAATTAGCATCAGTTGTCTTAGGGGACATAACTTTTTATGAAAGCATCTATTTGCTTTAATAACACAGATATCTCACATTTTATATATTGTGTGCATATAGATATATTTATACAGAGTAATTAATGATGATACAGCCACCAATGATCAATATACCTTTACCTGAATAAATTATTCTTTAATTTCCTTTTATTTCACTAAAAATTTATGTTCATTATAATGAATGTGTGTTACAGAGTAAATGAAAAGTAGTACAAAGTTTTATTCATTGTGGATAAAGATAATTATAATACATTCTTGTGAATTTTTCTAGTTTATTAGGCATAATTAAAGCCCTGAAAAATTTTCAATAGTTCATATAAGGAATACTTTAAATATGAAGGAAATATATTTATGATAATTTATGGCCTGTCATCAAGATTTGTAATAAAAATTGCTGTGAACTTTGTGTCTGCTCCTATACATTTTGTCAGTTAGTGAAGTCCACTTTAGCACTTCTGTTTGGAGATTTTCAACCAAAATTTGAGAGCAAAACTTCATACTTTTTATGGCTAAAACAAAAAGCTGCCAGAATATATGTGAGTAACTCAAACGATATATGTCATAACTATGCTTCAGGTAAAGAAAAAGCAATACATCAACAAGAATCTGATGTAACTGATTTGTAACAAAATAGTAAAAGAAGGAAAAAGTAAGCAATAAAAATAGTTTCAGAAAATCTTACAGGTGGGAAGAGACAATGACACGAGCTGTTTCATGTGGACAGGAAGAAGACAGGCGTCGGACAGCCTTTTCATTCTCCTTGTGCTATTGGTAAACGGCGTTGGTAGAAACAGTGTTGATTCTAGCAAGGATAAAGCACTGGTCCTTACTTGGTGGAAAAATTTTCATGAGAACAACCATCACTAGAGAACTGCTGGTAACCCAAGGCAATGGAGCCGTTTGAATTCTCCTATGTTAGTGTTCATTGCTGACAGTTTAGATGTTTATTAATGAACCTAATAAATCTGAGGATGCTCATTGGAAGCTTTTGTAGGGAAGGCTATTCAAGACCTCTGTTCCTGGCACCATGGCCACTTGATGCATGAGGCCACTGGGCAGCAACCGTGATTATTAGCTGGAGAAAGAAACATAGAGTGCCCAAAATGAGTTTTCTTATTAACTGTACTATATTGCATAACACATGTGATAGGAAAGGGGCTGACTGGGGGAGGAATATTTAAATGAGGAGAGGAATGAGAACAGGGAAGGGGCAGACGAATAATTAAGACTTACAAAGAAATGTAGAAAACTATTTTATAACCTACACACACATATATGCACATATATGTATAAGTATAAAAGTATGTGTTGGGGGGGGTGTCTTCTGAGAGGTGCATTATATATCTTTTCACAGAGGATAATGCTCTTGACAGAAGTCATAGACTACAAAGTAAAAAGCCAAGTCTCCAGGGCCAGTATATCTCCTTTGTAGTAGTTGGTCGCGGGTACCTCCCTTAAAGTGGTTGGTTGGGGGGTGCATTCCAGATGCCCTGCTAAACAATGTGAGTATTGCTATTGTGTTCTGTAGTAAACCACAATGTTATAGTAAGACCCATTGCTAGAGATACCACACATTTAGTCACCAGATTTGATGAAATCAAGCTGACACTGACATGGAAGCTTTCTCCTTTCTGGATAGCTTTTATAATTCCAGAAAGTAGTATCCAGGCTTAAGGAGAATTAAATTCACCAATAGATTTATCTGGTATGAGCCATTGAACTACAGTAACAACTGTGCTGGCAAGATGTGACCATGAGTAAATGTAACAGTAGTGTTAGTGCTGCAGGGCAAACCGAAAGCTTTCTTATTGGAGTTAAGTCCTGACTCACAGAAAGAAACTTATGTTTGGTGCTGCAAATTTGACTAAGAACAATGCCTGGGGAGCTAAGAGGCCCTATGAGTGAAAATATTTCTATTATTTTTCTAAATGTATATAGTATCTAATCATCTAATTGCCATAGATAGATGATGATGATAGATGATAGATAGACAGATGATAGATGATTAGATAGATGATTAGATAGATAGATAGATAGATAGATAGATAGATAGATAGATAGATAGATGATAGATAGATATAGATAGATAGATAGATAGAATTCCCTGTCTTTGCTTCCTGAGCATTAGATAGATGACAGACAGATAGATAGATAGATAGATAGATAGATAGATAGATAGATAGATAGATGATAGATAGATAGATAGATAGATAGATGATGATGATGATAGATGATAGATAGATGATAGATGATTAGATAGATGATTAGATAGATAGATTGATTGATTGATTGATTGATTGATTGATTGATTGATAGATAGATATAGATAGATAGATTAGATAGATAGATAGATGATAGATGATAGATAGATAGTTAGATAGATGATAGATGATTGATGATAGATAGATAGATAGATAGATAGATAGATAGATGATAGATAGATAGATAGATGATATTACTGTACCTCTCAATCATTATCTATGTACTATAGATGGTTAATAACACAGACTCCTAACTGGTCAAGGTGCAGAGAACAAATACTTGTGAAGGGCTCACATAAAGGAGATATCTACATCATATTCCTTCCCCCTTTAGACTTAGGAAATGTCACAAAAGAAGAACAGACAGGTTCTAAGAGTCAGAGCATGGGAAGGCCTTGGTATAAACAGTCTTCTGAACATGACAAGATCATTGCCATCATGAACTCACAGCACCTCTTGTTGCCTGAACTACACCTAGCAAAATTCCAAGCAGACAATATTCCGGTATAGAATAGGAGAGTTCACATGAGCTTTCACCCCAAATTGTGCAGCTATATAGCTGCTAGGTAAAGAAAAGTAAGTTTTTTTTAAGGTCATGACCCCTGGCAAACTGGCAGCATTCCTGTGGATGGTCCACACTCATGAGTATCTGGACCTCACTCATTAGACTCAGTGGGTTACTATGAAAACTGATCATGTAGATGGGGGAGGGATGTGGGGAGGAGGAGGAATCAAAGCAAAGGTGAGCGTGAATACATAAATATATATAAAATGAAATCTTCAAAGAATAAGGTCCCTTCCTGTGAGCTGAAACAGTGATTCTCTCCCATGAGACAGAATTGTGGTCCCCTCACATAAGCTGTAGCTGTGGTACCCTCCTGTGAATGTGGAATCACGGTCTTTCCTGTGAACTCAGAGCTGTGGTCTCTTCCTGTGAGCTAAAATTGTGATCTGCTCCCATGAATATGGATCTGTGGTCCCCTCACATGAGCTGGATCTGTGGTCTCCTCAAGTGAGCTGGATCTGTGGTCCCAGAATGTGAGTCAAGTTGTGATGGCTTCCCACGAGCCACACTTGTGGTCCTTGCTTGTGAAACCAGAGTTGTGGTCCTGTCCCATGAACTTGGACATGAGGTCCCTTCCCTTGAGCTCCAGTTGTGATCCTCACCACTGAGCCAGGGTTATGGTCATTGCCACAACTCATTTCTCTCCCATGACACTAGAACTGTGGTCCCCTCTTGTAAGTTGGAGCTTTGGTCCCTCTCTGTGAGTTGGAGATGTTGTCCTTCAATGAATCTGGAGCTGAAGTTTGCTCCTGTGAAACAGAGC